TATAAAAATAATTAAAAGGAATTAAAAGGCATTAAAAGGAAAAACAAGAATATTATATTAATTAATTACACTACGTATATGTATTTGTTTTTGCTTATTTTATTATTTTTAACATTAATAATCGGTAGTGACCTGAATATGACAATTACGTAACAGGATTATTACGTGGTGCTTCTGTCGCCGATGGAACTTGATACCACAATGCGAATGATCCTGCAAGTGCCGATCTGGGCACAGAGGGTGATTTACATACAGGGCTCGTGCTTAAAGGACGGCGATCTCGCGAGAGCTAGAATGAACGAGGCGGAAGCCTGCTTCGTGTTGGCAGCGAGAAATTATGCCGACAAGACCGCTGCTGACGAGCACACGATACTGAGGTCAGCGATCGTTGAAAACATTTAAATTTAAACTTCTTACATCTTTAACCGCCGTTGAGAAAATTCGATTCGGCCACGATTATTTTTGCTGCCTAATAAACTTTTTCTTTCACAAGAAATAAACATTGAATAATCCTAATATTTTCTCCGACGATCTATTTCGCGAACTTCGAACACGGTTGTTTAAGTTTTACTTCCGAATATAATAAAAATCAAGAGATTCCTCGTTAATTGTAATCGTTTAAATTTTCTTTATTTTTGAATACAATTTTAAAGCGCAGTTTAAAGTGCAGTTTAAAGCGCTCGGGCACGCGCGCATCTCGCAACATAGTTAAATATCCTGAATATTAAGATAAAAAGAATCCGTAGATAAAAGATAAATTCGAAAAATCTAATATCCTTGAGTGGTGAAACTTTCTTTTCAGAATATTTCACAAACTTTTTTTGCCAGTATACAACACTTTAAGAGTTCAAAAAATATATACATATTTATACATTCTTGTTTATATAATATTTAACAGAAATATGTTTGACAAAATTCAAGTTTTACTAGCATAATTTTAAGAAAATTTTATTTGATTATTGTAGATCGTGGGCGGTAAAAGATTTTGCGCCTAGTGTTCCTCAGTACGTTCAAATCTTCCGTCCGGAAAACAAGCTCCACGTGAAGTTTGCGGAGCACGTGGTATGTGAGGATGAATTTAAATACGCTCTATTGGCAAACAATTGCACATGTCCCGGTGCATCGACGTTAGTCACCCTGTTGCTGCACACGTCCAGAGGACAGTAAGTTCTTGTCACAAATAGAGCATTCAAAGCATAACAAATTGAACTGCGCCGGTATTACATAAGCAGAGATTTCACAGTACACATATAATCACGTGGATTATTTCTAGATTTTGAATATGTCTTTAGTTTGTGATTTATTTAGTTTATCTAATATATATATATATATTAATTTTGATTTATGAATATTTCAAGTGAACTTTATTTTATCGTTGCAATAATAAATTTTTTTAAATTTTTGTACACGCGGGATTATAATATTCGATAAAATGATATAATGCAATAAAGTATATTATTTTTACCATTACTCTGCGTAACTACATCGTCACTGTTACATAATATGTCGCACGAAGACGGGAAAATTTTGAAACAAAATTTTTCTCTTTATAGAGAAGGCCAACAGTCGCAAGAAGAGTGGCATAGGCTGTACGGTAAATGTTCCGGCAACGAGATTTATCACATAATTCTCGGTGACTCTCGCTTCTTCGGGGAATACGAGGGAAAATCCTTCACGTACGCGTCCTTTCACAGTCACCGGAAATATGGAGTTGCTCTAGTCGCAGTCAGACCGGCGGAACTTCCGGAATTTTACGAAGATACCATTCTGCTGAATCCTGGTAATCCTGCGACACTATCGGAGACACAGACGGTGTCTCTTTCTTTTCTTTCTCTCTCTCTCTCTCTCTCTCTCTCTTTGTCTCTTTTTTATATTTTTGACATTTCCTAGCTTTTCACTTCTTGAATAAATAGAATGAGATTTATTTGAAAATCGGATTTTGTATTTTGCTTTATATTATATGATTTTCTGTTAACTTGTTGCATTATGTGCTGTATCTGTAAACTTTCTATTTATGCATTACTTATGAATTATTTATATCTACAGTATATATATAATCTGATTTTGATTAAATAAATAAAAATAATTAATTTCTACACAGAGATTATTCTGAAAAACAATTAGTTGCAAATACGGGAAGAATTAAAAACATTGTAGCAGTTAAAAAATTAGAAAATAGAATATTTTGTAGAAATGAAAAATCAGTAAAAAGAAACAAATCGCTTAAATTACGAATGGGACACGTCTCTTTATACTGAAGAAAAAGACACCACGTCCGTGCGCCAAACGTGAATTCTTATGCGTAGGGCCACGGCATATAATGAAAAAGACCGATACTTGTTACTACATGAGTATCACGAAGGAAGAGAACTCCGCGTTCGTGGTCGCGAATAACCAGAGCGGCATCGCCGGCGAAGGGACGCAGATAATCGTCGAGACGAAGGCGGACACGTCCGCGAGCAACGGATCGACGACGAACACCACGACGACCAACACTATGACGGCGACCGTGAATTCGGGGGCAACGTTGGCGACGACGACTACCACTACTACCACGACAATATCGACCAGCTGCACTGTCGGTGGTGGCGGCGACGGGAATGGTACAGCAATCAGCAACGGTGCCGATGCGCACCAGCGATTTTCCAACAGTTATAACGTTGCGCTGAGCGAAACACTACGCAGGCAGGAGACCTGCACGGGGCCCCGTGCACAGGACTGGCCGAACGGTCCTCAAGGTCACAGGGCCCCGTTGCCACCGCAGGTTATTTTGCAGGTCCTCCCTAGCACGCCCACACCAATCCAACACCACAACTTACTCGCATCCGATGTCCATCGTGAGTGTCGCATGCGCCTCGCTGCTTTTTCTTCTTTTTTATCTCTTCTTTCTCTTCTTCTTACATTTTACTTCTATCTTTCTTCTTATGTCAATTCAGCACGGTATTATTGGTCTGTGAGAGATCGCGCTTTTCAGAAATTAGACAAATTATTATACTAGAGATCAATCAATAAATATATACTCACAGGATTAAAAATCTAGAAAATCTAATTTTAAGAAAAGTCGAGTGTAATATTTATAAACACATACTTGATAAATTTGTTTGCGCCATCTGTTCAGACTTGATTGGTGTATTTTAATATCAAATTTGAATTTTTTAGTATTTACTGAACTAAAAAATTTTAGCTCTTTGGAAGCCAGTATATTCACTTCGAATTGATATTCTTTGGAGATTCCTAAATGAAGTTACCACAGCGCTAAAACCAAGAGCGAAAGGATTTTAGAGTGAAACTACTGGGCACAAAGGGTTAATAATTCAAAATAAGCACCTGATCATAATTGGTATCAACTTGAAAATATATAAATGTTTATTAGATCAATCTTCTTTTGACACATTTATTCGCATCGCACGAGAGTAGATAGTATTACTTAGAAAGTCGTTCATGACGCTTATATTTGTTAAATGTTTAAATTTAATGCAACAAATACATACACATACATAAGACACGATGCTTTCTAGCTATAAATGTAAGGTTGAATTGGTAATTAATAAAATAATGTAATAAGCCTTGTTTTTAGAAAAGGAAGAAGCAATAGTAATTTGTAGTGCAAATTTATAAATCGTTAGTTTTACTTTTTTTAATTAAAATAAAAATAAAAATAAAATTGTATTAATATCGTGCATATTATAATTTTGATCTTTGAATTAAAGTTCTCTGTTTACTCTGTTTACTGTTTATAAAAAATGATGCATCACGAGAAGGATTTTATTCGAGAATTTACCGCCAAATAATTTAATATTTAACGAAGAATCTAATAAGAAAAAAAATATTGAGATTATAATTAAATTTAAATAATTCTGCAATTTTTAAACACCTTTGCATTTAGTCCGCAAAGTTGTTTCAACGTCATTGCATAGTTTCACACATTGTATCACATTATAAAGTGAGATTAAATGGAAGAGACTAAAGATGATAACGTGTATTGAATCACTTGGGCGATAAAGTCTCGATGTACAGTGTGGCTGCAGATAAGCCTTTGAAAATACCAAACCGTTACTTCCTTTTCATTCATGTCTCTTGCGGCGTGGTTTATGCTTGCACGTCGCTATACGTGTAATCTGCCTATATATGCTACTGTTTATGCACCATTCAGCATTCGTCATCAATGATCCTCGATAAGCGCGGTTGAATAGAAAGCTGTGAGTCTGAATAGAAAGCTGCGAAGCTAACATCTAGTAGATATTTTTCCTTGCTCACTCCATTGCATTTATGCTTACAATTATAATTGGAATTATATTACCGTATAGATTGAAAAAAGTCGCGGATTAAATTAAGGATAAATGATATTTATTTTCAATATATCAAAAAAAATCATAGGATGCATTCAAAAATATACAACTATACATCAATAAAAATAAAATAAAGAAAAGCAAAATTAAAAAATCGACTATATTAAAAAGAAATTATTGAGGAATTATTAACATTCTTTAATTAATTGAAAAAATAAATATACTTTATTAACAGAATTTTTCTGTTCAAATTTTTGTTAGAGAATAATTATTGTGAGAATTTGAAAGCATCTAAAAAATTTTTGCAGAAATGCAAATTATATTAAATATGCCAAAGGATTAGTAATTAAAAAATGCGTAAATATTAGACATATTGTATTATTTTTTATTAAAAGCGGAATGCTGTTTTTTTATCTTATCATATATTTTGTACAAATTGCACTGAATGTTCGATTGATAATTTGTAGTAGTATCATTTTAGTAGAACAGAAATGATTATTTATTTGTTAATTAGATTAAAGACAAAATAGTCAGACGAAACAGCATTTCTTTTCATATTAATGCAAAATTGTTTCCTTTCTTTTTTGTCTCCCACCCCAACGGCGTTACATTTATCTCATTCACGTTTATCGATTATAGAATTATTTTTCTTTATGACAACTGCAAATTTGTAGCGTCATTAAATATTTGAAGTTGAATCTCGATATTTTAGAATCACTAATCGCGATCGATTTTATATGTCGCAGCGACTTATCTCGATCCTGGAGGATTCGGGGACTCGAGGCAATGTTTGAAAGAAGGAGGATCAACACCACAAACACCAATCACGGGCAATCACCTTGATGTGCCACGATCTCTTGATCCGAATCCTAATCTACTGAGTCCAGAAATTCTAACTCAAAGGAGAGGTCAGTTGTTATTTTTTATCGTCTAAAATGCAATTAAATTATTTTTAATTGAATATTTTATTTTTTTTCTATGCTAAAAGTAAAATATATAAAAGTTATGGAAAACATAAAATTTTACTAATTAATGTCTGTGATACAATTTGTAGTTTATTATCTCCAGAAAATTTATTTTAATTTTTTTATGAGATGTTACATTCTCTAAACTTAAGAATTTTTTTAAATAGATTTGACAACGCGCGCACGAAAATAAAACTTGCTGAAAGGTTACGTAAAGTTTAAAGGATACTATCTGCTGACATAATTTCGTTGAAAGTACTATTCTTGCATTTGACACACTTTTACCCGTGTGTATAGTAGTTTAAAGCACTTCTAGTAACTAGTTTTTCCGACTTTGAAAGTTGTTTCTACAAATGGATATGAGTATTCTTTTCATTATTTCTCATTATGTGTTAATGTATATATATATATAATTATTTAATTTATGTCTTTGAATCATAATTTGATAAATTAACTATATAAATTAACTATATAAATTAACTATGTTTAGAATATAAAAAATAATAGTTTATAATATTAAATACTTTTATAGCGATATACACATATATATACTGCAGTTTAAATTCTTATACAAAATTAACTTAATTGATTCGATTAAGTCAACTATATGTTTATTATACCAAATCATTTCAACGCATGAATAAAATCTTATTTAATATTATAATAAAGAATTAATGTTAATGTCATATTTATGAGTATCAATGATTAACAAAACATCCTGCATAATAATCATTTTGTTTGCAATCAGGAAGCAGAAGACCGAGTATTCTGCCAGTACCAGATATGCTGACTAGCTCGACGCTGCATTTGCCTGGTCAGGAATCCTTAGACCACGACGGTGATGAGTCGGAGGACGAAATGGATGACGATGTTCCCTGGAGATCGCCAAGCGAGAAAATCGCGTAAGTATGTTTTTCTCGTGATATACATTACATTCAAGGATCCGTGGAGATATCACGGATCCTTGATAATTAATGCAGCACGAAGAACAACTCATTGAATTAGAGAAGTCAATCAATATATTTATTTTCGAAGAGAAGTAGAGGAAAAATTATTAGCAGAAATGTATGTCCACTTTTTTCTCTTCTTCCGATTTGTTTAATATTTGTTATGAACGATCTTTCTCTAGCACAATCGCACAAGATTCTCCGAGAACAAATAATTTCGCACTCTGTCTCGTGCACTTGCATGACGCGGTCTTAAGCATCGGATTTGTTTATGTGCATTATACACATATATTTTTTATATTTATGCATATATTGTATGCACTTTATATTTTTTATATTTGCACAATAACCGCAAAGTCTGGAGACAACCCGCAAAAGAAAGATTTTAAAATTTCAGGGATGATTAATAAAAATGAAGAAAAATTACACGTAATTATTACACATATAAACATAATTAAGTCTACAAATCTCTACGTCTTTTTTTTCTCTTAAGTTTACACGCGTCTTAGTTATATATAAATTTCTTGTGAAAAAAACCACAAATTTAAAAAAAAAATTTCCACATTTCTCATTGTCATATAATATATATAGTATACATATATATATATAAGTA